CGCCTGGGAAAAGCCAGTTGGAAAGGGCCTCGTCCCTGGCGGGACACGTCTGGGGGGGCTCCCAGCGGGAGCCCCAGGAGCTGGGCTACATTTTCATGCCTTTTCGGAAGCCCTGGGCCCCCGCGATGTATTTTTAATTAATTTTTGAAAGCGCAGCGCCCTGCCTCGCTCTGGGAAATGTCGCGCCCGGCTGTGCTGCAGGGCGAGAGAGGGAGGCGGTGAATTTCACTTCGGGGGACCCCCCTGGAACCCCCCAGCAGCACCAGAGGAACGGGGCTCGGTAAAGGACCCCCGCCGCTTCATTTTCAGCCTTTTTTGAGAGCTCAAATAAATTTTTAAATATTTTTAAATATTTTTTGAAAAGATGACGTCTGGGGAAATGAGGCTGGACGCCACCTTTGTGTCTCGACCAGAGAGGGGAATCGGCAGCACAACGGCAAATTAGATGAAAAAATAAAAGCGAAATAAATAAATCCGGGGCCGAGCCCAGCTCTGCACCCCGTTCCCAACCACGGGGGTTTGCATTTTCCTCCGCTTTCCGTTTTCTTTCCTTTTAAAAAATTTGTTCTAGGGGCTGGAAAACTGGGCACAGACCTCCTCTTCGATTACCCCCCCTCCCTTTTTGCCATGAATCGCCTGCGGGTTTCTAACGCAACATTTCCCCCCACTTTGTCACTCGTGACTTTCATTTTCTTTGATGCCGCTGGTTTTCCCATATTTATCCATTTTTCCCCCACTGCATTTTCCCCTCGTCTCCTTCAACCTTGCCCTGCAAAGCCTGAGGGTGAGGGAGGAGGGAGGGCGAGGGCAGCGGGACAAGCCTGGCTTTCGCCTCTATTAAATTATTCTTCAACGATCTCTCTCCTTCTTTCAGGTTTGCGAGGAGCAAAAGTGCGAAGAGGAAGTTTTCCCCTTGGCTATGAATTACTTGGACAGATTTTTGTCGTTTGAACCCCTCAAGAAAAGCCGGTTGCAACTGCTCGGAGCTACCTGCATGTTTGTGGCTTCAAAAATGAAGGAGACTATTCCTCTGACCGCAGAAAAACTGTGCATTTATACAGATAACTCCATTAGACCCGACGAATTACTGGTAATTTGACGTTTAGTCACTTCAAGAATAAAAAAAA